CTTCCCCCAAAGGTCCTACCTTGAATTACTACAGTTTGCAGAGAGACGATAGACGGCTACATACCAGGAAAATGTGGGTGGTTAAACAAATGTAAATAAATGACATCAACTCTAAATCCATCCCTAATCGTGACCCCGAAATTAATTCTGAACCTAACACTACCCCTAACCTTGATTAAAACCCTAATTACAACCCTCACCTTAACCCTTATCCTAACTATGATGAGCTATTGACACATTAGCGGAAGAGTACTTAAAAACGTGATTTGGATGAGATTTGCTGCTAAGTTGGTGACAAGCGTTGATGTTTGACCTATGCCAATGACAGGAGCCGTCGGCCAAAGACTAACCTGCGAGCAAGGTCATTGAAGTGTCCACACACCTGGGACGCTGTTCTTGAACTTAGCCGAAAAATATGTTTTGGAACTAAATATGTTGCAAGTTTTATGTACCATATGTTCGCACATTGTTTGAAATAAAAGCTGTATTGTTATACTGCTATCATCGGTCATCGATTCGGTTGAGGTTATGCACCGTAAATAGTTGCTTGGCAGCTTAGTCATGAGAACAAACCGCAGAAAATTTCGTCAAAACTGTATAAGGTCGTTAGAGAGGCAACCTATGCAAAGCCCATTTAGAAATCTTGCGACGGTTTTAGTCTCATTCACATTTTTGACGCTTGGTTCCTTCACTCTTATTTCTCGTGGAATTAGTATTTTAACCCTCACTGCGTCCTTTCTGTCTTACACAGGCGATGAGCATGACTTCAAAAAACTAATGGAATTGGAAGTGAACATCCCAATGAGCACGAAAGCCAGAGTGCTAGAACCTGGGTTTGATATTGAACACTTGGGCACTGAATAGGCTCACAAAATAAATAGTATACAGACTCGGAATTGTTAGAGATTAGACGATAAATTGAAATTTTTGAGCAAGCTGTTGACGCTTTCAGTGTGATATTGTGAATTCTTGAGATTTAGCACACTATTCCGGTAGTGAACTGCAGACGCCATTCCTCCCGTCTGATTCGACTACGCTACTTCATCTGCTCACTGGCGTACTCACTGAATACACATGCAACAGTGTTTGCTGCCTTCTTACTCTATATGCGAATTATCCAGCGGTTTGACGGCTATTTTGATACAAAAACCGGTTACCGAAACAGTCAATTCAGAGAAGAAAGCAAAGGTTAGAATGCTATGCCTCACTTACTTTGTAAATGATATGACTCGTTAAAATAAAAGCAACTAACTGAAAAATGCCAATCATGTAGAAAATATTGCTTAAGATACATTTTTTGAATCACTCATTGCGCTACAGTGCACACTAAATATATTTCCTCCTGATGTTCAGAAACTTACACTGTAATATCCAATTCAAGAAACTTAACCTAAGTAGCTCCTTTATATATGAGGAAACGATTTACTACTAGCAAGCCCGGGTAGGGAAATTAGGTATTCTTTTCCCCACAACACCAAATGCATGCACTCTAGACTCGCGTTAACCTCGCTTAGTTTACTAGCTCGCTAATTTTAGCCTGTCCCAAACCCAGGAAAAGAAGGAGGGTTGGGAGTCCAACTACTCACCCTACACCACAAAGCCAATCAAGCTGCTGCAAAAACTTAAACGCACAGAAAATATGTCAACAACGCAAAAAAACGAATAATAATCTTATTCTTCACCGGAATCCGAGAGGGGAAACGGCGCGGTTAGTGAAAGCCTTCGTGAAGCCAGTCACCCAGCCGATGTCTCTTCTCTCAATGAAAGCAAAAATAAGAATGGCTACGTAGAATGTTCGTACTATGTACGAAGCCATCTGGAAAGGCTGTACAGGCACCCAAATATACGCAAAGATATGAAGTAGAAGTGCCGGGAATCTGCGAGAGCAGATGGAATAGATGTAGATTATCAAAACTGTCAACTAAGGAGTCAGTAATATACTCTGATCATCCACTTAAACGACAACCGGAAGCACACTGAGGCAGTGAGTGGCTATCATGATATTAGCAGTGGCAGCCAGAGCTCTAACGCAACGGGAAACAATTTCGTCTCAGGATCAAGATGTCAAGATTCAACTCGAAAAGGGAAAGAGGAAAGAAGGGTACAACTATCCAATGCTACGCACAGTGCTACGAACAACATGGAACAAGAGAAGAATGAAGTCTTTTACAGACAACTGCAAACAGTAATTGATAGCATCCGAAATGGTGACATTAAAATCCTCATGGGCGATATGAATGCAAGCCAAAGTAGGAGCAGATTATGTGGGAAGGGAACTCATTGTGAGTTGGGAGGTTCTCGCTCGGCGAAATGAATGAGAATGAATAATTATTTGCAGACTTCTGGGCTTTCAATGATCTGGTGATCGGAGTCAGCGTGTACAAGCACAAGGATATACACAAGGCCAGCGATATGGTTTTCGCCAGACAGATACACCAAAAACCACATTGATTTTTAGCACGTGATATCGGTAACCCAAATTTTGCCGGCCAACCATTGTTATCAGGTGTGCGCCGGCAGGGGATCGAACCCCGGACCATGTGCACGGTCGGCGAGATTCCCGACCACTGTGCCACCGACGCACAATAGCGTGTGTCGGAGGTGGGATTCAAACCAAGGTCACATCGTGGACCAGATCACCCAGAAGATTACTCTTCAGTATGGCGCCTTAGACCGCTGGGTAACCGTGACCTGAAAGAAACGTGTAAAGCTCTTCTAGGAAGAAAGAATTGACAAGACGGAGAATGGCTGTCAACGGATACCTGGTATCTGATCGAGGCGGGTTGAGGGGAGGATGGTGAAAGAGAGATGACTCAGTTCAAAAATGCACAACAGAAGGAGAGGCTAAGTTCAATGTACACTTCACTGAATATAGAAGTGAAGAAGAGTGCTTGGAAAGAGAAAGGACAATTCCAAGACGAACTGGCTGGCAACTATAGCAAAGCAGGCAAGTCGCAGGTAAAGGAGACTGTAGGACATTATATCGGATAACCAGGTCTCCATCTAGGAGGAGGTCAACTCGGATGAAGCAAATAAAATATGTTCAAGGGAACCTGATTAGCAGGGAGGAGACGTAAATGACACGGTGGGCTGATCACTTTATAGCACACTCGAACCGACCATCACCTGAAACTCACCTTGAAGTACCAACAGCAGCACGCACGCATACAACTGCCCACTAGTGGACACCCATCCCCATGAGAAAGCGGAAATCTTGAATGCGATGAAGCTACCGATATCCACTCAGGGAGGTAGCAGGACCAGATTAAATCCCCCCGAAGCACTGAAAACGGACCCAAAGGCTGCAGTAGATGTGCTCACGCCATTGTTGTAAAAGGTTTGGAAAGGGTAGAAAAGGTAAATACTAAGTGGAAGAGGGGCCACATTGTCAAACTTTCAAAGAAAGGGGATTTAGGCCTCCCATAGAACTGGCATGGAATAGTGCTCTTGTCCACGCCAAATAAAATACTAAGTTGTTTCATCCTAGAGAGAATAAGAGATGCACTGGATACAGAACTCCTCTCTATAAGACCAAGCTGGATTCAGGAATGGCAATTCATGTATCTATCGATTCGCAACCCTGAACACCATCATCATCAAAGAAGGCATAGGGTGGCAGTCAAACTTATACCTTAACATCATCGACTGCGAGAGAGCCTTCAATGGCGTTGACTGAGAAGTAATTAGGAAAATACCACCACACAACGCCGTGCAGTACCAAGTCTTTATCAACCCTATTCAACAGCTGAATATACGACAATGCCAGGTGCCAGGTGATCCACAACAAAAAGCTCAGAGAGGAGTTCGAAGTGAATACGAGAGTAATGCAGGGCTGCCTATTACCAACGATGACATTCCTAATTGTAGTGGACTGGATTATGCGTCAGACCGTGGCGAGTGAGGTGACAGGGTTACACTGGGACGACAAGAAGACTCTGTAAGATCTAGATTCCATAAGTGATTTATTTCTGATGTTGCACACACTCGAAGACTTGCAAGTGAAAAGCAACAAACTGGTTGAATAGGCTGGCAGCGAAGACAGTACTTCAAGTGGACGTGGTGAAGGCAGAGGTAATGAGGATAGCCAAAGAACAGCAACAGCGAAAACAACCAGCATCATAACCCCATCAACGGAAAAAAAAAAAATGAGCTTACTCCCTCCACTCATCAAGGAAGCATCGTTTCAACCAAAGTTGGAACGGATAGAGATTTCAGAGTCAGAATTGGAAAGGCGTGATACGACTTCATCAGACCGAAACCACTATGAAAATCTTCCGCACACAGAATAAGGAAAACGATTCGCATTTTGAACACTAAAGAGAAGTTGGTGCTTCTATACGGGTAAGAATATCGCACTGGATGACACGAAGAGCATTTCCAAAAAGTCGTAGGTACTCATCGAAAGCTGCCAATTCTGGCTGAATATTGAAGGACAAATTGAAAGCAAGAATAAGCAAAAAGAAAATAAGGAAAACAAAACAAAGCTATAATCAGAAAAAAGCTAGGAAAAACTGAAAATAATATTTTGCAATCCATCGCATGATATCTTGTGCCAGGCCGTCACTGGAGTGGAATCCCAACGGTAGGCGACGAGTGGGTTGTCCGAGGGTGACATAGAGGGAAGCGTGTGAGTAGAGGATGAGAGACTATGGTAGGTCGTGGACTCAGCTTTAGAGGATAGCAGAGAATAGAACAAAAAGATGTGTTGCTGAAGTCCTATGTTCCACTGGGAACCCAAGTGGATAATAATAACAGTCAAATTGCAGATGAAATTTCACAGAATTCACACAGCCAGCATGAAGTAGTATTCAGACTCTCTGAAGACGTTAAAAATTGTGGCAAAACAGCTAACATACCAAGGATTAGATAGACATACACGGTTTGTACTGCAGTGCTAAGCATCATTAGTCGAGAGTGAATGGACTCATTGAAATTGGAACCATTGAATGTTGAACAAATTGTTTTACATACCCAGAAACACGAAATGCCGGTAAATTATTAATGACTTGAGATAATTCGTGGTAGGTTTGTCGGCTCACGTGGGTGAAATCAGTGGGGACACCTTGATGGTATTTTGGTTTGTAGTCGATGTCACGTATGATTTTAGCGTACTTCTTCGCAAATGCAGTGCTACAAAATCATAAATACCAGTAATGCAGGAATAAATTCGCCAGATAATATATTTCATTCCTTATGTAACATGTATCAAACTGCCAAGAAGCTAGAAGTTGACAATAGAGGTATACACGGTATCTGGATACTTTAATTAAGTTATTTGGACGATAGTGGTGTAGATTCAAACTTGTTAATTGAAAACAAGGCTTGAAGCCTATGTTATTACCTCTGTAGTAATTTTCTGTGCGTGCAGACCCTTCTTGAGTGATTCAGTCGAGGGTGCTGACACCACTTCCTCTGGTATTCTGTTCCAGGAGTTGATGACTCGGTGTGGAAACCAGTATTCTACGTCAATATAGTTTATCCTTGGCTTTTGAGCTCTTGTTATGTCCTCTGAGGTGTTCAAACCTGGTGGTAAGAAAAAGAGAATGGGTTAGGTCCACAGTCATCATATGAGATGATATCTCTCTGCCTACGGTATGACAGGGAGGGGATATTTAAACTGTTTAGTCTTTCCTCGTAGGATAAAAAAATTATGTGGAGAATCATACGTGTTGTATTCCTTTGAACCCTCTCTACAGTATGTGAGTCCCCTCTAGCACAAGGACTAGCTGCCAAGATACAGTTCTCCAGTCTTGACCTCACCAGAGATGTATATAAGGATGAGGACATACCTCTGGTGATTCTGGTAAAGACTGCGAATTTCCCATGCGGATCTGAATCCACTTGCAGCCACCACTCGACGATGTGCTGTAGTTTCTAAGCCGTGGCTTACTATGATACCTAAATCCAAATGAGTCTGAAATGGTGGGAGTGTTACTTTCTCTAGTTCCTTGTAGGTGACGCCTGCGTGCCCATTGCCTATGGTTTCGCATTGCACAACGTTGATCAGGAGAATCCACTCTGTAGACCACTCTAACAATTTGTTGGTTTCATAGCGGCGTGAGCGTTTCATTGTCGCCCTTCAGCTCCTTTCAAATCTTAGTTATCTGCGTATGGGTATGGGAATTGGTGAGCAGAGATAACTCAGTGATATGCAAAACAAATGAGAGGGGTCCTAGTATAGTGCTTTGTGGCACTCCCCTACGTACTATTGTTCAGGAGGCGAGTTGAGTCTATTCTAGCTCTGTCTCCTACCTATGAGGAGTCCCCTAATCCAGTTTAGTCAGCCGCCTTTTATTCCAAGACTCCTATTTCGTGAGCGATCTCCCCTGAAGTACTTTAACGAAGGCTTTACTTAAGTCCACCGACTCGAAGTCAAAGGATCTCCCGTTGTCCCTTGACCTGACTTAGCTCTCTCTTGCCATAAGAAGGTTCAGTAAGCATAAGAGATTCCCTCGGATGCCGTGCTATGCTTTAGACAACAAATGGTTGTTTTACAGATAAACCACAGTAACTTGCTTGATGATTCTTTCCAGTATCTCGACTAAGGTGCTGGTGATAATAATAAGTCTGTGGTTTCGAATGATATTGTCTCGATCCTACTCTGTGGATGAGAGTTACAATAGCGTCTCTCCAGTCACGAGGTGACATCCATTCAGGAGAGATAGCTTGGAGATTGTAGTCAGTAGGTGAGTTGTATGAGCTGATAGCTCTTTGAGAGACCTTGGATAGAGGTTATCAGGTCTAATTGGCTTCCGTGCATCTAGTTTCTTTAAAGAGTTAAATATGATGTCGTGTTGGGCGTTGAAGTAGCTGACTACGAGACTGCGGCATCTGGATATCTGTGAACCTAGTATCTCCAGTAGAAAGTCGTCTATATTGCAATCGCGACTGCAATACGTAGCAATGAGGTCGATATCTTATGTTGTGCATTCAAGTCTGCAGCGTAGAAATCCGCATGTTCTACTTTCGTTAGGTATTTTTTTGGAGCAGATGACTATGCCTCTATTTTACGGCCTAGTCGGTTTGGTCTATGCACTGTAAAGTATGGGAAGTTAGCTTCGTTGCCTCTGATATTAGATGTAGGCCACGTTTCTGTAATGGTGACTGGATTTCCGGGGTCTACCATTTGTCCAATAGACTGGTGGAATTGGTTTAGCCAACCGTTAGCTCATATTGGTGCTTCCACACTCGACCTACAGAGGTCTTGTGATCATCAGAATTCGAAATGTGACAACTCGAAAATCCTTAGTCGTAAGGCTTTTCTCGCCGTTTTGGCGCCGTTCGCTCAATTATAAAGCCTCAGACTGTCTTTTGATGCGGTGTTGTAGGCGTAAGTCATCACAGACTTGTATGCCTGGTCCTTTAAGACTTTGAGAGTTGCTTAGTATATCATCCTTCTCTGTTTCTGGATTCAGTATGACTTTGAGAAGGCATACCGGCTAATCTACTGTTGAGTCAGCTTTTTGGCCGATTCTTTCCAAGCTGTGGATAGTTACACCGGATACTGTTGTTGGCAGTAACTTCTCTAAGATTGGTTTGACCAGGCTGAAGTCATTTTCAAGCATGATCTTAGGATCCGAAGCCAATGATTCTCCGAATTTGTGGAGAATAAGCGACCTGTCGGGGAGATTAGGTTTGCTTTGGATGGTTTTCTTGCTCTGTGGTGAGCGCCTTTCCGTCTTTCGTGGACAATGGCTTTCACGGTATCTTTGTCTGGCTTTTCGCGGGCAATTACATTATGCCATTCACTGGCGTAATAATACATAGGAGAAAATGGGAATACATTGAGGAGGCCGTCAAATTATATCTTGTACCAGGCCGTCACTGGAGTGGAATCCCAATGGCACTCTACGAGTGGGTTGTCCGAGGGTGACATAGAGGAAAGCGTGTGAGTAGAAGATGAGAGATTATGGTGATTTTTTTCAGGTGTCTTACGTCCCACCTCGTTAAAACAATGATATTTCGGTGTTTGTGTGCACCATTTTGGTTCCCACATAATATTTTGTTTCTCTCAGTTGCTACTTTTTTCTTTGTTCACCACAGGTTCTTTTACACATCAAATTCCACTGAATGATACCGTCAAGATCCAAGGTTTCGGAATATAAAGATTTTTCGAGTGATTCTGCAAATGAAGATGGCGACTGGTTGTCAACAAGTGCTCTGGCTGTCTCCTTCGTAGAACCAGTCCCATCTCTACAGAATATTCTGCAAAAGATTGGAATTAGTTGTCAGAGCACAGGACATTTTTTCTTTGCCAAAATGCCTTTCTTATCTAATGATGATCACGTGTCTAGTTCTAGTACACCATGGGCTGTAGCACATTCTGCCCAAAAGCGATGTCGTTATTTGGAGGGTTATCTCAAATCCCAACAGTTGTTACGTGAGAAGTTTGTACAAGAACTGCGTCAACTAGCAGTAGTTTCAAATAGAAGTGTCTCAAGTAGTTTGTTGACATTTTCTAGTTTATTATGTCCTTTGCGTACGAATGCATCTGATTCTGAAGTTGACACCCCCGCTGATGATGTTTTAGTGTTGTTTGGATCTCCAGCAACAGTGTTTCAGATACTTCTGTTCACTCCTTGACTATCTTCTGACATAACAAAATTAGTACTGGAGTTGGTTTCTAATCAGTCACTGTATTCAGAGAAACTTCTTGAACAGTTTCAACAACCTGTGGGTCTTAGTTCATTATTTAGCTGCAAACAAATCTTCTCAGACGTATCTACACGTCTCTTAGAAGTATTTCAAATTATTGAAGAACCACGGATTCGAATAAAAATTCTAAGAATTCTTCCTGATCTCGCGTCCTCATCTTCCTCATCCGGATGGATTCTCAGCGATGAAGATAGATCTTTACTTGTTTTGCAACTTGTCAATCTCGTCGACTCGATATGTCTTGAAAATCATTGTGATTCGACAAAAGATTCTGATCCTGTTGTTTGCCTTATTGAATGCTTGACATACTTTTTTGTACAAGGAGAGCTAAAAGATCGGCTCTATATTGCGTTGTTTAATCTTCTCGATCGATGTATTGGACTTGACTCCTACTTCTATTATCTTCCTGTTATAACTCGTTGTCTTTTGATTAATGGACCAGCTGTACCACAATCACCAATTGAATTATCCAAACTTGTATCACGCCTACGTTATGTCTTTAGTTTCGCCAAATCGAATTCAATCAATTCGGCAGTTTCAATTAATTCCTCTCTTGTTGACGTTTTGCGAGTTGCCTTTCAGTTAAATCGCAGTGTATTGTCCGAGTAAGTCCAGAAGTTAGTATGAATTTTTGTTTCGGAAAAGTTATAACCATTGGTAACAATCATAAGGGTTTCATCTGGAATATCGGCTACTGTCTTACCCTGCAGATTGTGTATAGCACTTGGGAAATAAATTCCCGTAAAGCAGGCTTTATTTAGCATAGGTAGTGAATGCATCAATCACGTGTTCATCTTTTGTCAGTTGATCAAATATGTTATGCAGGCGTTGTAGTTCTTGATATTAGTCGTACCGTCAATTCCTCTGCAATCGTTTGCTAGAGAGATGTGTTCCTGAAAGGTTTGTTAACAACCTGAAAGCTCTATACAGAACACATTAGGTAGAGTTAGGGTATACAAGCGACGGTGGGATTGCTGAATTTGTCTGCTTTTCTTTAGTTTTGCCGTTGATGACATTGTGGAGACATCTTTGAAAGATGTGCGTGTTAGTGTTGGTCTGACGCCCGGATAAAGACTTTCTGGCCTCTACTATGCAAGTGATACCACGTCTGTGGGATAACATACAGGCTATTCAAAACACAACTAGTTAGTGATCATTATCTGTAAATAACGTATGCACTTTGCTCATAATCAGTAAATTCATTTTCTTAAGTATTACGATTATACGTAGAGATTTTCCAAGTGGGAAGTATCATGATACAAGTGTGATCTAGCAAAACTACCGAAGACTGCAGTTTTAAGGCATATATCAGACAAAGTTGGTAAAGTCAAATTCACTTCCAAAGAAACAGGAGCTGCAGGTAGACCACAGGCCAAGTTCAATACTCAAAAACCGAAAAATCAGGGTACAAAGGATATCTTCACTGCAATCATAAGGAAAAAGGCGGAGACACCAGTGTTGGAATGCACTGGAACATTGTGAAAGCGGTGTGGAGTCAAACCTGCATGGAAGTAGTGGGCAGAAAGAAGAGACAGGACAACCAGTGGCTCACTACGGACACTTGGAGACTAACAGAAGAGAGAAGGGTGGTGAAACAAATGATTATCCAGTGCATCGACGAGCAAAAAAAACAGGAGCTGAATGCAAGCTACAATACACTGAACAAAAGAGTAGAGAAAAGTGCTAGGGAAGACAAAAGAGAATCTTATGAAGACATGGCAATTGAAGCAGAACAAGCTGCAGGCGAAGGGGACCTCACAACACTCTACCAAACAACTAGGCTCCTATCCGGGAAAAGTTCAACACAGATTAAGCCAGTGAAGGATGACAATGGAAAGTCAATCACCGAGGAAGTGGAGCAAAGGAAAGAGTGAGCTGAGCACTTCAGAAGACTTCTGAATCGACCGCCACCTACAACGCGCCTAATAATACCAACAGCGGAAGCAAAACTACCAGTGAACATCAATCCTCCGACGAGAACACAAATATTGAAAAAAATCAAGATGCTAGAAACTGGAAAGGCAGCAGGACCAGACGGAACGCCCTCAGAAGCATCGAAAATGGACCCAGAGACATCAGCGGACTGGATGACATCACCGCTGTGGAAAGATGGAAAGGTACCTGCAGATTGGAAGAAAGAAAACTTATTCAAACTGTCAAAGAAAGAAGACTTAAGTCAATACAAAAACTGGCGTGGAATTATGCTCCTGTCCATCCCAAGAAAAATACTAAGCCGCATCATCATCAAACAAGCTCTAGATGGAAAACTTCGACCGGAATAAGTTGGATTCAAGAGAAACAAGTCATGTATTGATCAAATCGCCACTCTACGGATCATCATTGAACAAAGCTTGGAATGGCAGTCACCTCTCTATCTCAACTTTATTGACTTTGGGGAGGCCTTCGACAGCGTCGATCGATAGGTCATTTGGCAACTACTTCGCTACTACGGAGTCCCATCGAAAATTATACATCTCATACAACAGTTATACGACAAAAATGCATGCCAAGTAATCCACAACGGGAAACTTACAGAACTTTTGAAGTGAGGACGGAGTGAGGTAAGGCTGTCTATTATCGCCAATTATTTTCCTGATTGCGTTGGACTGAATAATGCGACAGACAACGGGCAGCAAGGAAACAGGCCTAAAATGGACCCACACAAAATACTTAAAGGATCTGGACTTAACCGATGATATATGTCTGATTTCCGACAAACTGTAAGATATGCAAGTGAAAAGCAACAAGTTGGCAGAAGAAGCATCCAGAGAAGATAGGCCTTCAGGTGAACATAGAGAACGCAGAGGTGATAAAGATTCGTGGTCAGTAGCAACAACAACAACACCAACAAATGACAGCGATCAGCATAAATGGTAGAAATCTGGAAGAAGCAACCTCCTTTACCTACGGATCTGGTAGGCATCGTTCCAACCACAGGTGGAACTGACGAGGATATCAAAGCGAGGATCAGGAAAGCCAGGAAAGCTTTCATTTCTCTCAAGAAAGTGCGGAGATAAACAGCACTCAGCATGAAAAATTAGATGTGGATTTTCAACTACAATGTGAAGCCAGTGTTACTACACGAATCAAAGACGTGGCCTCACGAAGGGCACCTTGAAGAAACTACAAATCTTCAGCAACAGATGTCTCTTCATTCAATACTCAAGATCAGATGGACGGTGGAGCGGACCAAGTAGGAACCGATTTTGCAACAAATATTCAGGAAGAAGTGAAGTTGGATTGGACTGGCCGTACTCTAAGAAAACAAACCATCAAATGACTTTACACGCCAGGCCATAATTCGAGGGGAACCGGAATGGTCGTCTGTGCGACGGTGACATGGAGGAAGTCGTGTGAGCAGGTGATGTAAGCATGTGGAGCCGGGTAAAAACGTTTGCAGAGAACCGAGTGCAGTAGAGACGTGCGGCTGAAGCCCTATGTTCCTCTTGGAACTAAAGGAAACGATAATAATAATAATATAATTTCTTTGAAAGCCGAGATTACTCAGATCACAATGTAATCTGCTTGATACCGTAAGTGGTAATCAAGAAACTAAGCATAACTATATGAAACCATGTACCACTGATTAATCGAGATGAGTAGTTGTATACGTCTCACATCAATCAGTAGTTTGGATCATTTCGATCTGGCAAGGAAGTACTACTGGTTCATGTCAGTGTTATACAACTACTCATCCCAATCAATCAGTAGTAGTAATAGTGTATTGTCTCATCCAAACAAAGTAATCCCAAAGGCTTCTGCTCAATAGGTCTCAGATTCTGTTTCAACCTGGGCAACTGGGTGAGTACCGTTAGCCCTTATTCGTTTAATGTGGCTCATAGCAAGACTCCTTGGAATATTGGTTGTAGAGTTTCGATCTCTCCACGTAAAGCAACTTTTCAGGACTAGAAGGGAAGAGGATCCAGTGGCTCGATCATGTTCAAAATGCTAAGGATTAGTCGTTGAGGATTATTTATGAGATGTCTAAAAATGGTTGACGGTGGCGCTAATGCATTCGTCGACATTCTGAAGATCTGCACTAATCTTCGTTTTGTTGTTTCCGTATTCACACTAATATTCATCTGTTTTAACTTCCTTATGTTTCTGTTTCCTTTGTGATTTTTGAAGCATCTGTACTGTTGAGGAATATTCTAAGTCGATTCATAGGTGGGTCAGTCACAAAATGTCAATACTGCTATGACATTTTATCTGATATGACTTTGCTGGTAATGATAAATTCAATATATTTGTAGAAATGATGATATGGTGGTGATCTCTATTCAGTTTTTAAGGCAGGTATGCGGTGGCATTGGTTCTACAGACACTTGGGATAAGGCTGAGTGAGAAAGAAATAATTGAAGAGAAAGAAGAAGCAGTTCAGCAAAGATGTTTTTACGACAAAATAATTAAATTAGGACACGAAATGTCTTCTGTGAGACACATCGCAGAATTCCAATGATACGAGAAGAAAATTGTAACGGAAAAATAAGGAAACTTCTCAAGCTTTAGCATAATCTTAACTTTAGTCACAGCTTGAAGAAATAGCTCTAGCCAATTGGCTTCGAAATCGTTGAAATGGTGTATTAAGGGTAGATGTTTTGTCTTTGTCTCAAGACACACCGGTACCAATTTCTTGATGATACGGTAATACAAATAATTTTTTTTCATGTCTGTCCACATATTTCACTCGGCAGGAAGCGTGGATCATTTCGATGCATCTCCGATAAAGATTCCGATAATTTGCGTCATTTCTAGTTGCAAATTCTTTTCAAGTCATATGTTTTTTTGTTACAGATGGGTGCGTATAATTGGCTTACCTAACTCCATGCCAGATTCCTTGTGTCAAAGTGTGGTTGATGGTCACAACCAATTTGTACAAGACTTTATTGTTCTTTGCATATCTGTAAGCATACCATCAATATCAGCTTCCGAAAAGGGTAACATAAAAGCAGTTTCGGATGGATCTTTATTCAAAAGAGTTTACAATCCCGATTCTTATCACAACAAGCGCTTGCGAAATGAAATTATTTCTAATGTGCGTCGTCTTTTAATAGCTGGGAAGCTGTTTTCATTTGGTAGCATGCATTGTGATATCGATACGTTTTTAGCGGATTATGGCGAGCTTCTAATTTCTGGAGATACTCGTTTGTTCTCATCATTTTCATTTATTCTAAACCAACTTATCATGTCAGGAAGTTGTGTTGCTACTCGTTTCAAATATCTAACCAGGTATATTGGCTTATGTTTGTACATGAAAGTTTTCAACAGTTCCAAGAGTGACTACTCTCTGAGACAGGAAATCATAAGCAACCTTATACATCATTATTTGACAGGTATCAATAGCTTGTTGATAAGAAGCGCCAATCGTTTTCACATGGAAGCTATCATGAAAGCTATTCTGATAACGATATTACGTTTAGCTCAATCGAACGCTCGGGAATTGGGAGTGTACGAGGCAAATCTACGTACTCTCCAGAACCAAATTGATTTTTCAGGGGCGTCTTGTGATTCAGGTGAAACTCGTTTTCAACATTCGCGTATGCTTCATGGTTATCAGTCAGGAATTTTAAATGACAAGCAGTACATAAGGCATATATTTTCTATACTTGCTTGTGTAGCATTTGGGTGGGTTACATGTCTTTTTTTAAAAACAATGAATTTTAATTTTGAAATATTCTGTTTTGTTTAGCTTACTACCCATTTGAGGAATCGATAACTTTTAAGAAGACATTAAATTTTCACTTTCAAATAATTTTGCATTGATAATCTGAAAGATACTTTTGATTGTCTCGAGAAATAGACCCCGTCAACTTCCGCAATGTAACTTATTTGTTTACCAATGAAACGATTGCCATACTTTGCTTGGTGACAGATGCATTACGACTTTATTTTGTTGTTATTTGAAACACGAATTTGGTGCAATATAGGCATCAAGAGATAAACCATCAGAAAATTACGCAACAACATAGAGAAATGAAATAAATGAGGGACAGATTCATGGAAACAGGTAAGCATGCTTATCAAGAGAATGGAAAGGAGCGTATTACTTTCAAGAAGAGACAAAGGTGGATATTGTGGTATGTTAGGCATTGATTTCGATTCTCAGCTATGTCGAGAAACTAATTTGGATGGTTCTTCGTGCAACACCCTGAAATCGTAATGCAGTAACATATGGTAATGAGAGACAACTGTCTATGTCGAGGTGCCATTTCATGGGCAGGTTGATTCCCTCATTCAAGTTTCACCATCGTCTTCACAACTTCTTAGGTGTAGGTGTATTCATTAGGTCAAGGGCTTTATGGTGGTTGAGTTCTTGGAGTTTCTTTTGGATCCCCGTTTCGCTAAATTGATGGGTTTTAACTAGCCATGGACCAACTGTTGTCTACAATATTGAATGCTGACGCCGAAGGCCAGCCGGATCTGAGGTGAATTTTAAGCGGAAAGTTTTTGAACTTTAAACAGAAACGCAGCAGTTCAAGTTACAAAACTTCGCAAAGCATGCACGAAGGTAGAAAAAACATGCAAGTAAACAGAAATGTATGAGAGTAAGTATGTGGAGAATTATCAGAATTTAATGAATCTGGGAGATGACAGAGTGAATGCATCTGCTTTACCAAGGAGTATTTTAAGCTGTCACCAACTGTCCTGAATCATCGGATCTTAACTCCTCAAAGATCCTAATTTCCAGCTCCCAGTATGGCTCAAATCGGCACTCGCAGACTTCACGGATTGACGTCATGTTTTAACTTGACAGTCAATTCATGGTGCTTAGCGTCACAATCAAAAGTCTGGTAAATTCTTATGTACTATATTGGATCACTTGCGAAATTCGAAATAAAATTTTGGAGCCAGGCACACGTAAGAAACACTTTTGAGATTGGAGGCAGCAAAAAACTTCACTGCAGTTTCGACTTATGCATAGATACTTAGTCTAAAAATATGTATTGAAATAACACCCTAAAGTTTATCTTAGAGACTGGTGATCAGCACTGCGGTAGTTCATCCACCTATGAAATCATAGTATGTCTGCTGAAATTGGAGCACATTCATGGTCCATTTGATGCACTTCGTTCAAGTCCCATCACCTTCTGACCACATGTTTTGACACCATCAGTGCTACTTCACTGAGTGTGCCTCAAGTGACGTCCAATATTCACCGGAGTTCTTGACCAGTAATCACACGCTGATATCTAACTCTGTGGATGTTTTCTGTGTATGCTACTAAACACTGGAAATGATAATTGGCTGATTTCCTAGGATTCTTTTGATCTATGAATACCCTGAGAGGTGTGTTAGACGTCCGATTAGCGCGTCCAACCAGGCCATTACTCTTCGTATTCTTCACTGTAGTATGTTTTCTGAATCCCTAATATGCAGCAGAGTCCGTTGACAACAATACTTCGAAATCTTACGAGCGGGATACTTCGAAAGTTTGACTCTCAGTCAGTATGCAGCTGAAGTAGGGCACCACAGAGGCTAATCCATTGGTTGATTTTTGCTTGTGAAATGGTTATGGCAACAGTTCGAGACATTATCGATTGCCTCTCACCCTTAAGTGAAGTGGTCAACCACGACTAAATGTTACTGAGGCCAAGTAAAAATTTTTTTAGGAATCATATAGTTATAAAAGGTCCTAGATGTACCTTATTATATTTGTGTGAGGCCTTACAAAGTCGGTGAATTCAACAGGAATCAAAGAACTATGAAATCTTTCTTCAGATGAGACCACTGGTGATGACTTTTCGCCATCATCTAGCCTGACTTTGTTGGTGCATCGTCAAGAGTACCGTGGTCGGTGCCGACAGTGGGATCGAAACTCGACAGTATGTGGGCGTACTTCAAAAGTAAAGCATATTGTTGACAACTCCTGAGTTGTTGCACACAGACCAGACCGTGTATGCCTAACTATTCCTTGGTCTGTTTTACGCAGTTTTTAACGCCTTCACAGAGTGTAAATACTACTTCATGCTGGCTGTATGAATTTTGTGAAACTTCATCTGCCAATATGAGCCTGTGGTGCAAGTATTTGGTGTTTTGGAGAGAAAAATACCTAATTCTCCTCCACAGACTTGCTAGTAGTGAATTTTTTCTTCATTATATAGAAGGTACTTGGGTTACCTTTCGCGAATTGGATATTACATTTTTATTATAAGGTTTTATAGTCATGCTTTTGTTTCTGTTAACGCTTTGATTTATGCTGAACCTTGATGTTGTATGAACACAGTCTGTTAACGAAGTTTTATGAATGGCTGAGACAGTGGTTTTACGCTTCGGCATTATTTTGCTGACGTGACCGGTATTATTATTAATATTCATACCTCGCATTCAAAGTGGAACAAGGAGCTTAAGCAGCACGTCTTCATTTCACTTTGTTCTTTGTTGTCATTTTCATCTGACCTGATGACTGCTGTTAAATTTCATCTTTTTCCGTACATGGTCTTCCCCATTTCACCATCGGACGCCGAACCGGCTGCACCCCTATTTGGGTCCCATTCAACGATCTCGTCAGTGTATGTTCAAATGATTTTGTTTTGCATATTTGGTGTGTAAAACGCTGTTAGGTAGTTCGCTGTCAGATTTTCTTGTTGCATGTCTTTTCCTGACCGATGGTGATATTCTGATTTACGCCAAACGGCGTATGTTCTGTGCACCGGTTGGCTCAACACACGTCTCACTTCCGGAAATTTGAATGGAGCTAACTTAGACATAATATACATGTTACTTGATGGATATCACCGAATACATGACACTTCTGTAGAACTTACATTGTAGCATAATTCATCTTGTCTTATATGGCTAACAGCGTGTATTTCTACAACTATCCAACTGAGGTTTCTGATATCGTAGGACTTCAAACAACAGTCCTTCTAGTTGACATGCACTAGTTGTATGAGTTCGATTGTCTCTCTGAGGATACTGCTGTTTGTTTCCGAGGTGCTTCTTAGTAGACAATATTTTCCAGGGGAAGGTAAGTGTTTTTGGGCACGTATTTAAATTGAAGTCTTGTGTACTGATTTTCTGACATTGAGTGAAGTGTTACTTCAATTAGGTATTAGATGTTTTGGGTGTACTGACATAACTATATGGCTGACTTAATGTGTAACTAGTAACGAAGCTGTGATTAGTCGTTGGCATTGATTTCGGGTCAAGCTAGAATCTTTTTTTTCAGTCAAAGGTGTTTAATGCGTGAGATAGCACTTTTGTATTTGGACGCACACTCACTTTTGACTATTTCATAATTTCTCATTAGAAGCAAAGAACATCGGAAGCAGCAAGACGATCTGTTGTCATTCATCCGCAAACTGCTTTCAAGCGAATCATTATTTTCCAAATGTGTTGGCATAATTGGTGCAGTTGTGCTTATCGAGGTAATTTGCAGGCGTGATAATTCATCAAGAAATGAAGAATGCCCCTTAAATACTGCCTGTCCTGAAGATGAAGATGATGTATGTCTGTATTTCTCTTGTTCTTATCGTTTCGAAATTAATCTCTAATGATTTATAGCCATTATAATTAAATTCACCGTTTTTAAGTCCAATTCTCTGTATCTGTACAGGAAAGACTGGAAAGCATAACCTCAGAAACCAATCACTGTAGTTGTTATAGTCCTGCTGGAGGTCAGTGGCAGTCAAAATAGCTTGGTGTGGCAGACGAAAGTCGTTGGCTTAAGCTTCTGAGTTCATGGATCTCATGTTCGATTTCAGTTTCACCTACTGCAGCCTGAAGAACCGAGTATTCTTACCAGTCCTCACAATAAATGTAGAGAAAGTGTGTTGCACATTGGAAATCTGATTCCGGTAACTAAGTTCTAACGTAAGGTGGTGGTTGTTGATGTTTTAGGATATCTAGTTAAACACAGGAATCATACTATTTTGGCTGACGGATAGAGAAGTTACTGGGATCATTTCGCTGGTATTTTATGTGCACGAAGCATACACAAACAGCAAAGCTTTTCAGTGTTCTAGCCAGACCTGCTTGTTTTCGGATTTACTGCCTGAAGGTAACTGATTAGCAACTCAAAACAATACGCATAGATTGAAATTTCGAACAATACCTAATGACTGACGAGAGTAAAGATACTACAAAAAGCAAAGTTGATGGAAATGAAACAGAGTAGTGTACACATTAGAGAATAACAGCGACAATGTAAGAAATCACTCAATCCTTTTGACCCCTGGCACCTATGTACACCATAGATTTCGAACGAGGGTTTTCCACCGCTCTACGTTGAACTCATTTTGTTCGTCTGCGCAGCGTTGTGGTCAGTTGGAGTCTCCTTTCAGGCGATGGAATTAAACACCATGGACCTGGTGGGAGCTATAAAGGCTGCTAAAACAGAGTTTCGAGGGGAGACCCTAAAATGTATTAACAGAAATAATACGCCCATTGTTTAGGTAAATATAAATTGGTTTTCAAGGGGACCTACCTTTCTCAAAACCCCAATGCATTAATTCTCATCTACATGAGTACCTTTCAGCCTTCAGGTGACTAAACGTTTTCTTGCTGGCAAGGTGAATGTCCTATCAAATGCTTTGAATAGAACGGAGTATTTTCATTTTGGATTTGACGTGTTTCGCTAACAGACTATTTGATGATGACATCCCTACGAAACATCTCTTTAATATCTAACTTGCACTTTTTGGGGTTAGTATGTTATTTCCCTTCTGTTCACTGTAGTAAATTAAATTCAAACGCTTAGTGTTCCACGTTGTGTTCGCTGTTCGTTGACCTCTTAAGATTTGACTGATCCGAATGTATTGCTTTATCTCTTTCTACTGTTCTGTTGTAAATCACGTTAGCAAATGTTTCACTTTTCTTATTTTTATAGTACATTTTACTAGCTTCCCAGCTGGCTCACATCGATAATGATCAGAGTAGTACGTTCTCTGCAAATGTTAGTCGAAGCAGTAATGCTAGTTCTTTGAGTTTAAAAGGTCCAGGAACAGGGTTTGCTGATGATCCTAATGAAATCAATTTACTGGCTGGTGACAGTGAAGAAGATAGAACCACTGACATTTCAACTCACCGTCCACAATTTGCAACTCCACCTACTCGTCTTTTGTTACAATTGGTGGGATTGGTCGAGCATGCAATCCATTCGCAATTTCAGTTGACAGTTTTCTGGCTGGATGAACTGGCATTCTGTTTTAATCGAATAACACAGTTTAGTGGTAAAAATAAGGCGATTCAGTTTGTTCTGGATAGTACCTCACCAAGTGTGTTACAGTTTTCCGAAGAGGCGAAGAATTTTATCGTTTGGATGGGTACTCGAGTCATGCGCGATTTTCAGGTTTGTTTCTCTTTTCTCTAATTGTCCTGATTTTTGTTGCATTTCTTACATTCGGCTTTGGTTAGGTTGTTTATTTCATTGGTTGTATAGGTTTGCATGTTATTTTGTAGAAGCGTGCTACACTGTGTCCATGTCGGTAAATGTTCGCAAATAGTTCTAAGGGATTGTGTTTAGAGAATTCGGTTTTTCTAAATGCTGATGTCATTTGTAACGTGAAGGCAATGAGCGGTATTCAGGTTGCGTATCATCATATCTGTTATAAGTATCCATATGACAAAAAATACCAGAAATTGAATAAACAACTTATACTGCTCTCACTTCACTTCTATGTGATTATTAGTGTAGATAATCTTGCTGACTTATCGTGATGTATACGGATAACAATGGGTATTAGCGTCTTCTGTAATGTAGGTGATCCCAACCCCACGATACGCCCAAGTGATCAATCTAACTACCCAGTGTAAATTGAATGACGTCTGTTGACTAGATGTTCGAGTTAACTAACTAGTCCTTTCCGTGTCGTTGCTCTGTAATTTGATGTTAGTGAGAATTCTTGAACTTGGTTTTCGCGCCTACTTCACTTGACAACTGGGCGTAGTACCACTGTGATCATTTTAACCTTATGCCATTCTGTGAGCTGGCGTTTATCTAATGGAAGCTTTTTAGACCATAAGTTATTTCACGATGTCTCACATGTTCTTCGTGTTTTTCGTCTTCGATCTGCAGAGAATCAGTAGTTACCGTCGGAGTTAGCGTGGCTTAGTATTCAACTGCACTGGTTGCAGCTACTTTGCTCAGATATCCATTTGTTAGGAGGACAACTATGACGAACACCAAACTATAGGTGAGACCAAGCATACACTAGTATGATCAAAGTCAGATAAGTACTTCAAAATGGGGGGTTCTGTATACACCTATAACACCCGTAATTGATTAGAATTTAATCCATTCGAGTTCAGACTTGTGTGACACAAGAGAAAGTCAGGTATTGAAATAGCGATGGCTGCACCAGAAGTTGATCTCTAGAAAACAGACAGAGATTGATGCGGAGAAGGAGAAGGCGATACTTATCATCAGATCTGACTCAACTCAGTATATCTGTTAGTACTGCGATATTTGTTTCGGCTGTAGGACTTCTTGCGACACCGACGTAAACTATACAGGGTGCCAGTTTGACATGGTCCTCGGGTAAGCGCGGTCGAAACAGCTTTTGGTTTGACAAATGAAAGGTATTTTTCAACGGATTGCTGCGGGAGTTTGTCTGTGGAACAGCTGGTTGGCATAAGTAATTTTCGTCCATTTATTTTGAGTGGGTGACATAAGAGCACAATGAGAGGTATCAATTTTTGTCACATCAGGATGTATTATTCCTGTCATCTACCAAAGACTTTGTAAATTACCTTTAACTTTTAGTGATGTAGCCCTTCAAAATGAGTAACTCATAATAATTTTCCAATTTTGTTCATATTTTGTTTAAAGGATGATTTTGTGTTGGACAATGCTTCTACAGAAAACTTTACAACCCAGTTCTCACTACATAATCCTCGTCTTTGCGAAATTGCAATTGCACTTGGACCTACGTGGAACAAATACTTATCAGCTGACTCGCATTCGCTAAATGGTGGGAATTCTTCAGGGCGAAAATCAAACCGTGTTGCAAATCCTCTATTATTGCCTGCTTATTTGAATTTGCTAGCAATTTCTGAAGCTGTTCAGCATGATGGAAATCTAAATAGTAAGCTGATTATTATTATTATTATTATTATTCAATGCTTCATTTCAAGGAGTTAATTTTTTATAACAGATTTTTATTTGTATATGTTTATTTCCGTATAAAAATACCCTAGAAATGTAGCAATGCAGTGTGTTATTCCCACAACTGAAGACAAGTAACCCTTTTCGAGTGAAATTCTAACAATGATTTGCATGGATCTGCTGTCGAGGTAGCATTTGTGAAAATGTATAAAATCAGAAGCCATGTTCATTTCGGACCAAAACTAAAGTTGTAGGTGGAAATACTAACAAAATACAGTGTCTTCTGCAAAGCACCTAGTTCAGAGATGGTTAGCATGTGATTTTCCCCTGTCAAATGTAATATGCTGCAGGATTGGTCTTCACCGACCCCTATCTGTAAGAGAAGAGATGCAATGATTGAGTGTATTTGAGTAATTGCATCTGGGCTAATCAACTGATTGCTGACGAAATCTCAGCATGGATATGAAGGTCTCATTTGATGTTTACCAAGTCGCGTTATCTTCAGCGCAGGTGTGATATCCCACTTATATCAAACGGCTTATGTACTGTGCATCAATTCTCGCCGTCTTTCTTTACTGCTATGAAACCTTCTGCTGAGGGCAGGAGATATGAAGGGATTTGATCTCAGGTATCTTCTTTTAGTCCGTCGTGTTTTGTGGAGCAATGTTTGGTTAAAGTGGAGTGTCAGGTAAGTGGTGGAAGTCAGTCGGTTGATGATATTGTGAATCTTCCTCTATGGAAATGTGTAAGGGTAGTGTATTAGTCATATTGAAGAGCAGTATCAACTGAAATGAGTTACGGGTGGTGAGACGAAAACATTGCATGAATCCATGCAGTTTTTATTAGTTAGAGTGACTTAGGGAGGTGTAGATTGTATATTTGGAGTAGTCGTGATACTAGGAGTCAGCGGTTTGAGACTTTCGGTGAGATCTTTCAGAACTAGACATGATCTCCCTGATTCTGCTAGTCCTTACTAGTTCTCATATGATTCTTTCTCTCTAGCATTCTCGTTTATTGTTGTTTTGTTGCGACTGCTCTCTACATCTATGTATGCTAGATCTAGTGTGTTTTTGTACAGAGTTCATATTGATAACTCAAACAGTCATTTTTTGATATCAGAATATATTTGAGAATTAGTCTACTCAGTAGACGCTAGTTGCCTAGTTATCGACCACTGTTGATTCTTTTGTGAATAATTACTTCCTGAAATTTTCGGAAGCATTTCAACAAATGTGTGTGATGAATGCATAGTTAAATAATAGTTTTTATGGTGATAGTTGTTAAATATGCCTAATGGATAATTGCATAGTCATGAACGCATTGTAGCCTGGGGTCGGCAAGTTTCAAATGATCTCTAACCAGTTGCCAGTCATGAACTGGTATGGAGCGTGTTAAGGTTTAACATGTGAAGGATGTGAATTTTTTACATGTTGAGACAATTTGAAGACTAGTCTGTCAAATTGATATGATTATTTAGAAAATGAAAGTGATCTGGTCCCTCATAATCTTTATCACCAGAATTAATTATCGATACCGACCAATCGCTGGGTGCATTAAAGTGAAAAGAGACTATTATTCGGGCTGATAAGTGTTAAAGGACCGATTTTCTTGAAATTTAAGTAAAGTCAGAAGTCTGGTATATATCTGCAGCATAGGTGAACGGAAATGTATTTAAGAATATCTGATCAAAACCACTTGAAGCTTTTGCATAATATTTGACCGTGCTTTGAATTATCAGTGTGTTGGTCAGTCAAGTGCGATTTCTTCTCTAATATATAGTACTATAAGTTCGTTAGATTCAGTCGACAAAATATGCTGATAAAGTAACTGAGATTTTGAATAAAGCCGTATGTTTTATCCCTCTTTGGTTGTTTGTTCTTGCAGTGCTAGCTGTGAAAGTGATTCACAGATAGTGAAAAGTCTAGTGCAGTGTTATTCAACTTCTTTTTAAAGTTAATTCATTTAGGGGTCGGGTGTGAGGACAGATACTCGCCGATGACATTAGTTAGTGGTTGCGTCATATCTTGAGTTGGCAGAGGTTGGAAATCATGGACTGGTCATTGAATCGCGTCCCATTGGCTGAATGATGTTCAAACTCGCCTCGTAACTGGAAGGTCCTGTGTTGGAGTCTTGACGGTGGGTGCGTACTGATGAAGAGTCCTAAACTAGGATGAAAAAACTCCAGTACTCCCAGGTATGGTTCTCTAGCCGATGTCAGTTCATGATGAAATCCTGTAATCAATGCAGTCAAATCACTGCAAACCAACACTTGGCTATTTTCACCTGACAGTTAGTTGACTATCGTTTGTTCATGTTTATATGCTTGCTGATTGTTAGAACAAACCCAAGTGATCTTTTACGCTTATCAATGATCCTTTCATAGCCAATAATTACTATTGTAAAGTAACGTTGATCTATTGTTTTCTGAAATGCGAATCAGTGGTATGTATCAGTTATTCTCTAATTTCGAATCCGTTTTAATTGTTTTACAATTATATTTTCTAATTTTCTTTTCAGCCATCGATGCTCTCTTAGGTTGTCCGCTTTTGTTGCCAACTGAATTCGCTGATACTAGATTTACTAAATTACTTTTAGGAGACAACGTGGTCAGCATCAAACAGCCTCATTTACTTATGATCATAATTAATTGGTTTATAGAAACTATAAATGTTTTCGCTCCTAAATTACCGTGTGTTGATTCATCCAATTCACAAACGTTTTCTCTCGGAGCAATTTCATCAGCCAATATGTCTAATGCAAATCGAATACATTATTTATCAATTCTCCTACGTTTTACTCAGATCGCGAAACTCCGCTACAGCCTCTATAGTTATTTAGCATCTGTGTTTGATACGAATAATGTGCAACAGCAGGATGCAGATGTCGATACTGAAACTGAAGTTCGTAGAACACAGGTTAGTGTTGCTCCAGTAAACAAGTCTGGATTATCGTGGTCTGATTTACGTCTTCCTACAGCTAGTTTCCAGCCGGCAATGTGTTATTCAAGTGTACCATCGACATCCTATGGTAATGGATCCGGTCAACCTTTTGTCACTTGTGGTGTTCATCTGCAGTCATTTCTTTCTAATGATGGAGATTGTTTATTCGCGTATGTTTGTATGCTTAATTCAGTGCAAGTTGATTTTTGAATCTTTCTAGTATCTATCTTTTAGGTTTGTAGAGAAAGACTTGAGACTTACCATGTGTGAATTGCTTTCATTGCATATTTGGTTCACTGCTAGCATACTCTTCAGCGAGACAGGAGGTCTTGGTTCGATTACTGGCCGACGCACTCTCAAACCCCGTCCAGCCGGTAGTAAACCTGGAGAAGAGGAAAGATGGGATGTAAGATTATCCACCTTATCCGTGAAAGCAACACTGCCGCTACTGAAACTTCAAAAGCTTGAAACCCCATGTTCCTCTCGGAACTCAAAGGAGCGAAAACATCTTAAACGTTATTTTAGTTAAGGCTAAGGCATGTAAGTGACACAGCTCCACTGGTTTATGTGTGTATGACATAGGCTACGCGTACTTAGGCATGGCCTTTCTCGACCGCAAAGTTAGTTAAAAATCAGTTATTCGGAGCAAATTTTGTAATGCACTAGGCTACGTTTATTTTGTGGTAGCTGATGATACTGGGCTCTACTCAAGGATGAAGTTGGTGAAGACTGGGTAGCTCTAGATAAGGTAAGCATAGTTTAGAAAACAGTTAGAAGGAGTCAGACGAAAACTGGACATTATTGCAGAAAGTAATTGATCGTTGGTTTGGACTATGTAGCGAGGCATAGCTTAGCTTGCCTGTGAGTTGTCGATATGTTGAGAATCATTGGTGGTGGCTAACTTAAAAATGTTGTGTATTCTATCTTTGTTATTTTCCATATTCTGAAACTTTTCAGTAATCTTCGACAGGCTGGGATTTGGTTATTTTATTATTATTTTGTCCCCTCAATTTATATTCTTTTTGAGAGGTCATAATGTGAACTGATGCTATTCTGTGCCAAGTTTATGTTGGTGACTTTTATTAGCATGTAATTGAAGTAGAGTCGTGTATATGGGTATCAATGGGGAAATGAGTTAGCAAATCAGTCACCTTTCACTCAAAATAGCACTGTTTTTCCACGTCTACTCTATATTTTCACATTTTCTTGTTGCTTTTTCGTCTGGCTTTATTCTCAAGCCGAAAAAGGACTGGAACTAGCTCAAAATTCAGTAGTTGTGCGAACAGGAATACGTCGCGTGCTGTTGATGTAGGTGCGAAAAAACGTAAGAAAATATTGGATACCAAAGGAACATGTGAGAATCGAGACAGCTATGCATCTGAACTAAGCGATTCATCAGTCTCTCAAAACGACTCTAACATTACTCAGCGTACTGATTCACAAGTTTCCCAAGTGTGCAAAACTGGTGGCAAAAAGTCTGCGCGTACAAAGTTATCGAAAATGGCTTTAGTTGGCACTAGAAAAGGCAGAAAATCCAGCAAACATTGTGTCACGGTATGCGAGCTCTTCATTATTATATTTTTGTCACCTTGAATTGATTTAATTTTCTTGATTTTTCCCTATAAAATCTACGAGTCATGTTTGCGTGACTGCTATTTTTCTCAAGACAAACTAGTTCCTGTTTGTTTATAGACAAGCTGTTGGTCAAATTCAAATACTTGTTGTCATTCCCCCACTTGCACCAACTTTGGTCGTCCGTCAGAAGATCCGTATAATGTACAACTGTCCTTTTCATCCTACTTTGTGACTGTCCAAAAAGTTGTTTCATTTTCGACATCCGACAGATGTTAATTGTTTTCTAGTTTTAATAAAGCATTGAAAATATTACGAAGGAAAGCCTGTCATTGTAGCTGGCAAAAGATGTGTGTACTGTCTTATAGTCCAAAACATTCTCTTAGTTAAAGGCCATGTGATCCTGAAGAAATACTTATTTTCTGTGGTGAATGAGTTTAAGGTGTCTCATATCTAACAGACTATATGATAAGGAAGATTAACACCAAGTTTCACCAAAGCTATGTGAGACTGAATTAGTTGTTGAGAAACAACTATTCAATTAATTTTAACGTCTCAGAATGCATAGAGAGAAGTGCGATATTGGCTTCGCTTAACTTTCGAATTTCTATCATCTCTGCAAACATTTATGCAGTTTAGCAAGTTACTGTTCCATTCGATTATTTGATTAATGTATGGTGAATTTCCAGCACATTATTTTCCACCTGTAATTGGTGTGGATATAAATGTCACCATAAACACCATTTAGTAAATGTGCTTTACTTTTTTGGATCATCGAGTTCTAGTAGTTAAGCCTAACGAACATAGTCTCTAAAATCCTAGGCTCAGTAATCATGCATAAACTAAGCAGAACTCGGGAGGAACAGACAAGGGAAAATCAAGCAGGCTTTAGACCAGGTAGAGGGTGCATAGATCATATCTTCACTCTTCGACAGATTCTAGAACATAGACACACTTTTCGGCGTCCAACAATTGTCATATTTCTTGACTTGAAGGCGGCCTTCGACTCCGTGGATCGAAAGGTACTATGGCAATGTTTGACTGTGAAGGGAGTGCCAAGAAAGTACATTGGACTAATCAAGGCACTCTAATCAAACTCACGTAGTCGTGTAAGGGCTTATGGGGAATTGTCATCTGAATTGGTAACAACCAGTGGTGTCCAGCAGGAATGTCCACTTTCCCCATTTCTGTTTAACTTCATCATAGATATGCTGATGGAAGTATCCTTAACTGAACGTAATGACTTAGGAATCGACTTGTTACCAGGGAATAGTCTTATGGACTTAGAATATGCAGATGACACAGTCCTGTTAGGGGAGGATGCTGACAAAATGCAGAGTCTTCTGAACACCTTGAGCAGCAATCTTCGTATGTTTGGCATGCGATTCGCCCCTACAAAATGTAATATGCTGCTACAGGACTGGACCACGTCAACTCCTAACTTAGTGATAGGGAGTGAAGTGATAGAACATGTTGACCACTTCACCTATTTGGG